AAAAAAAAAAAAAATTAGGCGATACTTTTGAAGCTTCTTATCTTCTTACTTCTTACACTATTTTTCAGTGTTAAAAACGTATTCGTAATAAATATACAACGGTATTCTCTCTTTGAGGAAAAGCACTATAAGAAGACAAACAATCAAAATCAAATTCTTAAAATTTTAAAATGATTTTTTTAAATCAGTAAGTAAAGAAAATGTTTAATAAAATTTAAAAACCCTTTTTTTTTTTTTTTGCATCATGAGAAAAACATTGCTTATATTTTTAGCTTATACAACAGAACAACCAGGAAAGTAAAACACTCCAAGAAAGGTGGATAAAAATAAGTTTTTTTTTTATTACAGATCGATTTAGAAATGCTTAACAAAAACCAAATTTACTCCCGTTGAACAGTGTTTAAAATCTTTTATATTCTAGAAATCAGTGAAGCGCATTGGATAGATTAAATCTATCTAAGAGAGACAATATTTACATTTAAAACTTATATTCATTTGTAAACTGTATATTTCCATTGGATACAACACTGCTTTCTTTTGTTTTGAAACACAAATTGAAATAACAAGCAAGAGCACATTGTCAAACATCTCGTATACCTTCCAAATTTTCAAGTTAGTTTCTATTTCAATAGAAAAATAAACACAGTTGTTTCTTCTGTGCGAGTTTTCGGAATTTTAGACTCTAACACATGTTGCAAGAACTTGAACCGAACTTTGCGACGCGATCCTCCACAACGAAATGTTGAACCCAAAATACAAGAAAAAAGAAATAATAAATAAAAGAGAGAATTTATCATTACAGAGCGGGAGTGTATGTGGGAGAGAGAGAGAGAGAGAGAGAGGGAGAGTGAGAGAGACAGAGCAATGAAAATAAAATTTTCAATTAAGCTCTGTTTGTTTTTCGTATTGTGACAGTTTTCGTTGTTGTGGGTAGTTTTGTTGTCTCCCTGCATACCCTGTAACATAATGCCAAAACAGGGGATATTCGTTTGGAGAGAAAGTGAATAGACATAAATAGTTTTTAAAGCTTTTCATGTCTGATATCGATTTGAATATCGTTAATGAATATCCCTAATGTGAGTTTCTTAGTTGTTCCTTGAAGGACTATTAGAGATTAGTGCGCTTATTTAGCAAGAAACTATGTGACTTTATATAGATTTATCGATAAAAATCGATTTTTTAATGACTTGTACAATATGAACTTCAATGATATGATTGTAAAATATTTAGACTAAATATATTTAGTTCAATAACTCTTTTCATATTCATAGAAACTCGATAGGTATATGGCCAATGGTATAGAAGTACTATTTCTACTTCCAAAGATCAACGAAATCATTGCCTAGGGTATTTGCCAGTCGTTCCACCTGTCCACTCGGTTAGAGATTTTTTCTGTATGCAGCTGAAGAGATAACAAGAAGTGGCAGGTCGGACGCAGCGTTTCAACTGTTTTGCATAGAAACAATTTCATTTATTTAATGCCTGCCCGTCCATTCCCGGCCTGGGACTGGGCCTGGGCCTGAGAGGCTTTTTATTTGTATTTGAATCGCTTGAATTAAAAAGCGCCTTGTTACGCATTTAACGCGATTTCCGGTGACTCTTTGCCCCAACCATCATTGAGTGGTTCAGCCCCTCATCCTCCTCATCCATCTTCTTCTCCTCCTCCTCCTACTCCACCTCCCTTTCCATACATTCTTTCTCCCCCGCTAGCTAAATTGTGGTTCAGTTTCCATCAGCGTTCTTTTTTTCGGCATTCTCTCTGTGTCGAGCTCTTTTGGGGTAAACTATGCGGCCCGCTTTCATGCATGATCCAACATGTGTGTGCGGGTGTGCGTGTGTGTTGTGTGTGTGCTCTTCTTCCTCTCCTTGAGCTATGCATTGTTGTCTTTCCCATCGCCCTAGCGAAGGGCATTATGAATATGTCAACAAAATGCGTAAGGCTCTGATAAGAAGTCTATTGACTATTTCTCATATGCAAATGTATGTATATTCCTGTTATCTGATATCTACAGACAGTTATATATCTTTGAGTGTGAGCTCTTACTAGTTTCTGTTAGGGTTTTCTTAAATTACCTTACGATTATAACACATACCTACATCAGGATTATGATTATACATATGATATGTACATATGTATATTCCTGATTCGTATCTATTGTATACATTCTTGATCCATAACTATATATTCATATCTATGTAAATTTCTAAAGAAATCTTTTCTATTGGATCCGTCTTTGTGGATCTGTCTCAGATCATTTTGCGATAGTCAAAATTTACATATAAATATCATATAAGTTTTATGGGAACCATTAATTTAACAGTAGATCATTTTTCATCTTAATAAGAAATAATTTTTGATTTCTTGACATTGCCTTATAAATGTTTATGAGTTTTATTTTGTAAGTCCAACAAAAACAAATCTTAAATAAAATAAGATATTGCTATATATGTATATAGTTAATTTACTCCCTTTACTAATTTATATAGGGTATTTTAGCTTCGGCCTCAACTTCTGCTTTTACTTAAAAACGTCTTTGGATATAAAACACAAATTGAAATCTGGATATGCACAATATATGCAGCCAGCTGTGCGTGTGAGTGTGTATGGGTACAGTGTTGCCGAAACTTTTTCAGCAAAAGTAGCAAAATCGAAGGCTGAAAGTAGCTAAAAGTAGCCAACTTTCTTCTAAAATAGCTGAAAAAGTAGCAAAAAAGAAAACAGTGCCGTTTTTTTTTATAAAAAGTCAACTTTATTAATTTAATTATTATAATATCTCATCTATGACCACCAACTCGTCATTTTCACCATTGTCGCTTTTATAATTTGCCTTTTTAAGGTAGTTGGGTGGAACGCTATACTCATAGCATAAATAATAAAATCAAATTTTCGATAATTCTAGATAAAAAAGTTATCGGATGAGTTATCGAAAAAATATGATGCATGCCAAATTTCAGCTACGATGATTCCTTCTGCCCGTTACATACTTTTTCACAAAACCATTATACCCTGATTTCCCATTTTCAATGGGTTCAGGGTATAAAAACTGATAAGAAATGAATTTTGCATAACATTTCAGAAAGCTTACCTATTATATATATATATTTGAAAATAGCCAGATTTGTAGCTAATAGCTGYTTGAAAATTTGTGTAGCAATCGGACTCAAGAAGTAGCCAGATCTAGCTACAAAATAGCTGATTCGGCAACACTGTATGGGTATGCTTCCCCCAACTAACTCCCCCATTCGCATAATGTTGGGCCACTGATATTAGAGATAAGCTGGATCATTTATGCAAGAAAGAAATATATGTATATACACATGTATATATGTATGTGTATGTATATACATGTACTATATATACACACATATATACGTATATGTATATATGTATATATATATCAGATAATTCACTTGAAAAGAGGGTCGGTTTATATGGTGGGCATAATCATATGCATATGCTAGGGGCAAAAAGTGTTGTAGGGATCCCCTGCAAGGCAGCGAGGGTCGCTCCATAAGTAGGCCATAAATCAATGCCATTTAAAGTCAATTAACACGAAATATGATTTGTCTTATATACAAACGAATATGAACTTTAAACTAAGCTACTAGGTAATTTATATGCATAAAGAGTTATGGAGCTATAGATGAACTTTTCTATATAAATCTTCGTTCCGTTGTGAAATGACAAGTTGCCTAAGCTAATCAGATAGAATTTTTATATTCAACAAACTTCTCTTTAGATGAGGCTATATGTATAAGCTATAATTAGCTTGATCGGCATAACATATAGGAATGGAATCTCTTTTTGACTTCGAGTGATTTGTAATAATTTGAAGGGAAACAAAATGGATATTCATGCATAAATACAGTTTTTTACTTTTCGAACACACCTCGATATAGTTTCGTTACTTTTAGAGCCACCCAATTTTGCTTCTTGCTTAAGAGTTCCATGTCATAAATTTGTTCTTTATTATTGATTTAATGACATATTTTATAAGATATATTCGAGTTCGAATTCGATGTAACACTTGAGTAGTTGATACAATACTAAAAGCAAATACATACATATACAAAATTATGTGAAGAGAAAATTATGTGAAAAAAGTTTCAGCATTTTCTTATTTGTTTATGGGCTTCTCCCTCTTTCATTATTATTTATTTATTCGAATGTAGCACAAATGAAATATATGCAACTCAAATTAAGACAGCATTTTCGGCTGACTAATCAAAACGCAAACCCGAATGGAATTGCATACAGGTTCAAGCAAGTGATTAGCGTGATAATAAATAAATACATGTACATATATGTATGTATATGCAAATGTATGTGTACACATTATATAAATATTATTATATTATGATAATGAAATTAACACCAAAAAACACATTGAGATTGTGGCCAGAGTATTTTTTCTCTTCTCTAAATTGAAATAGGCTGAGCTTCAAATGCGTTCGCCGAAGATAAAAATTTATATATATTTTTATATTTATATAAAAAAAGCTGTTTCCGTCTAAATAACAACAAAAAAAAAAAAAGAGAGAGAGAAAAATATTGTATGAATCATTCAGCTGCCGTTGGTTTGGTCAAAGCCAAGCCCAGACGGTGAGCGCGGGGTTAAACGAAGAAACAACAACAATAGCAGCAGCAGCGGCAGAAGATGACAATGAATCGGCGACACAAGCTGTTGGCTATGAAACTAATTGCAGGAACTGCAGCAATAACAACAACAACAACAACAACAACAAAGAAACCAAAGTAAATAAGCGAAAATTGGGAAAGAATAAAACAAAAATGCGCAGATGAATGTGAATTCATTTTGGTTGAGCTCGATAAAAAGTCGTATAGGTGTTTGTGTGTGTATGTGTGTGACAGTTGCTGCAGATGTGCGTGTGTGTGCAATGACTGATGCTGAACTGTGCGCGCAAGCGAGAGAAGGGAGGGCAGATGAATTATTATTGTTGTTGTTGTGCAGGCGAACAGCCGTTGAATCTTTATCATGGCAGCAGCGGCAACAGGAACAACAACAACAACAACAACACAGCTGCTGTTGAGTGTTTCAAATTATATTTTAAAGCCACATATGCACACACACACATACCCAGGCGCGCACACGCATACGCGCAAACAGACACTTGCGCACACACACAAGCATGCTTAACAGTAGCTATTACACATTTATTAACTGTTCAAGTTCGGCTTACCCGCTGAGATATTTTGTTTTTTTGGTTGTTGAAAGGTAGCTGGGAAATTTGTCGAAAGGATTTGAGTTTCGCGATTGCGCCACTATTGATAATTAGTATATTTCGTTTGCATTTTGCTGAATGCACTGGCTACAATTTGGCCAATAGCTTAAATCACAACTTTAAAAAAAGAAAACAAATCAAAAAACAATTTGATTTGAGGTATTATGGCAAATTATTAGCACGTCTGAACGCAGGTGGGCCAGGCATTGTGCTGCTCACTTAAATGTACACACGATCTTCTTCTTTTCTATAGCAAATAACGGTATGCCACTTGTCAACAAACGAAGTTCGATATTTTTTTATTTCGATTTTAAATTCTGTGCTTAAGCGTAGGAGAAAAACAACACACACGTCCGAATCTAGCGGCGCAACAACAACAAATGATGTAGCGGGCAGTTCATGTTAAGCTGCTGTTGCTGTTGTTCTCAAATGATACTGTTATGCACATAAGGTGCGATCGATAATTAACAGTAGGGTGACCAGTTGGCTTTAAAATGGACAAAGACATAAAATCGACTGTTTCAGCCAAGATTCAAATGTTAACGGCCCAAAGAAATTATTTCTCACAAACTTGAAAATAAATAAATAAATACAACTATTTGCAGTTGCACAGCACGCAAAATGCCAATTTGAAAGTCAAGAAATGAATTACGCTCACCGGAAACGGAAATCAACTTACACTTAAACTTCCATTTGAATGCTAACAAAATTAAATAAATATTATTGTATAATAATAAATACCAAAATAATATTTCTATTGGCCATCGCAGTTAGAGCATTTTAACTCTGGCAGTTTCAAAACTCAATCAATAGCTCGAATCATATCATAAAGTCGTATACACATTGATATGTCAAGCAATTTTACTTTTTCCTAAATTTACTTAATCAACTTCACTTACTTAAGTGATAAACACATTAGTATATAGCAATGTGTACACACATACACATTTACTTATATCAGGTTCGGATGTGTGTCGCAGCTCCAAACACGTTTCCACCTAATTGAATCTATTATAAGTGTTGATGCAACAAGTTTGCCTTTAGCCGTTTGCCCGTTTGCCTGTTGATCCGTTACAGTTTTTAAACAAGCATCCGCATCCAGTACAAAAAAATTAAATACAAAAATAAAATGACAAAAGTCACATTTTTATTTATGGGACCAAATCTTGTTCGAGATCCAGATTTTTACTAAGAAAAAGTGAAACCCGGAATCCAGACAATATATCATTTAGTCGACCCACTTTCATTATCATTTTGTTGTCGTTGTTTGCGCTCTTAAAACATAAATAGCTAATTAGCTTAAAGAGATTTACTTAACGCACAATCCAAATACACATCACAGATTACAAAATTAGCAATTATTTTTTTTTAGATATATGTCTTAATAAGGCACATATATA